TCCTTCATACTGTATTGTTTAACTTCACTATGGTGAACATATTTAAATATTAAGATTGAAAACAAAATTAGTTTTATTTCAATAAAAATCTGGTAAAATAAGGTATTTTTAATATAACAGTTGAATACAAGTATAATTGTTTCTTCGTTTGTTTGTCAAAGTTTGGTATGAATATAAGTTCACTAGTATGATTTTTATTAGGTTTCGTTTATTGGTGATTTATTACTTCACTGTCCCATACTAATAATTAGAATTAGAATAATAATTTCAATTATTATTATTATTATTATTAACCTCTAGAATTCTTTAGTCTCTTAGCACATGTCCATTTCATTTTATTAAAATATGCAGTTTAACGGGTGTACTAAACCTGTATACTTAATGGTTATTGAATTAGAACCAAAGTTTAATTTGGAAGTTTGTTAGGATTCAGTGATTTCAAGTTTGTATTCATCATAGACAGATATCAGTTAGAGGAACATAGGCAACCTGGAGTACTGGATAGCTGTTTCGTTTTAGTATGGGACTCCTCAGTAGTGTGCAACCACGATACCGCCAGGGATCAAACCAAAGTGACATGACAGTACCAATCAGTGCATATGACGTTCTTCATACGCATGGTGATGCGGTTTACATCATTTACCCCGTTTTCTTAATAACAGATATTGCATAGAGTAGACTGGTGACGATGGGAATAAATCAATTGTGATCAGTCCGTTGTCATCTATTATGGAAGGTATATTGAATGAAACAGGGTTTCGACAAGAAAAAATTTGCATCAAATTAGATTGCCACAGTTCAGTAGTACAGGAGTAGAAGTTGAGCAGTTTAGTTGTGTGCAAGTCGATTCTAATTTATCTCACATCAATATCCGTTGTGAACTGATATCATTTGGAATGAGCACTAGACAGCTATTTCATCCCATTAGAGGACTCCCCAGAGGTGCGCATCCATGATGCTACAAGGAATGGATCTCAGACGGCCCTTCAGACAATTGGTTAAAATTCAATTCGTTGCTAGTAATCAGATCATGATTATTTTCATGAGCAATGAATTCTACTAGAAGTTTCATCGAGTAACTGATGTTGTCTCACTGTGTGTTACATAAAGTCAAAGAACCACAGTGGAAGAAGAACGCACTTTAGAACAGATGAAAGGGAGAAAATCAGCTGTGCTTTGCTCAAAGCGTTTGACAGATGATTCGAAAGTATTGAACTAGTATCCAAAATAGCATAAACTATAGAGCGGTAATTATCTTTCTGACTTTTATAAGATGAACTTATCCGTTACTGCAAAGTAATGTGTTGTAATGTCATGTCCTTAATAAAGACTGACTTCCGTTTACTAATTCTGCTGTGTGGTCATTTACGTTGATCAACTCAAGTTGCTGGATGATGATGAATGCGACACGCTGTAAAACTAACTCTCACTTAGATATTCTATTTTCCAGGTGGTTGGTTAACTTACTTTCTAGTTTTTAAGCCTTTTAGGAGCACTTTCAGTATATGTTAGGTCACATGCTAATCTCCTTGAGGTTATTTTTGATATTATTCTGTTTCCGCTAGCCAAAGACAGATTCGTTTTTACTATTCTGTGTGTACATTCTTATAAAGTTTGTACGGTTATGGGACGATTTCTAGAGGAATACAATGAGGATCACAGGTATTTGTTGTTCTTCAAGTTCTAGTGTGTTTCTTGATCTGGATAAAGGATTTCAAAAGCACTGAGACAATTAATATTCTCCAGTTTGAGATTCTGTAGTTAATGATTGTTATTTATGCACTGTATTACGTAAATTTTATGTCCACTCATCAAAGTCAGCCTATTTTGAAGGTGTGATGAGTCGTACTCTAAAAGTTAAGAGCCAAATGTCAGGAAGCACTCACCAGGTTAACTCATCTGCAAACGTGATGAAACTCATGTTTTCTCAGAAATTCTAATCCGCACTATGGTTTCCTCAAATAAAACATTTTAACCATAAGCTGTCGAAGTTAAAGTGACCTCGTATAGAATTGTGAACATGAATTTCTTCAGAATTGCGGCCAAACCTTGCTCATGAAAGCCCAAAGGCATAAAACCTAAGGTAAACAAGGTTTTCTTGCCAACTAAACCCTAACACCGAATGCTTCTGTTCACAAAATAATGTAATTTGTGAGACAATTACATCTGGTGGGTGTCTGTTGTGGTCTATTTTACATTTGTAACATATGGCTGTTGAAGACAAGTCAGTTGGTCAACTCATGAAAACGCATAAACTAAAATAGCTGAATTATATGAAGTTAATGCTTACCCTGACTTGCTCTGTTTTCCTGTGATTATGATCAAGTTGAAAGAGACACTGAATATGTCCAAGGCAAAAATAACATCAATCCACAAAATTGTTTACTATTGATCTAAAAATGCCAGAAATTGTTTATTTGACTGTCAACCTAAATTTTATCCTATTTCAACATATCTTTTAACATATGAATTTCTGTTTATCTGACTGTTCTTATTCTGTCTTATCAGTAGCACAATGAGTATAAGATAGGTGAAAGAGAGTAATAACTTGAATTTTGCTAGAGTACTTTTCTCATTCATAGTATTCAAACATTCAGGAATACAAAATGTAGTGCTTTCTTCTTATCTATTACGATGCTTGATCTGTATGTCTAATATAAATATCTATATACACTATAAGAGAGAGCTTTTCAAACAAGTGTCTTAAGACTATCGAATACTTCAATACATTGTAATAATAATAATAATAATAATAATAATAATAATAATAATAGCAATAATAATGATAATTTCCATTATTCGACGATGCCTCAAATCAATATTTATTCTATCTTCTTCACTACTTTGGATGCTGGAGGTGGTAGTCAATCTATATCACAAACTAATCACTTTGTTCATTGAAATGTGTAATGCTGAAAATTCTAGTCTGAAATCTTTGATTAACTCTATTCAATCATATTTCGTGAATATGATTTTCTATTTTAGGATTAAATAGGAAAAGCATTTTGAGCATTTGATAATAAATCAAAATGATTTTGTACATCAATAGAATATGCTTATCAGAGATTGAGAATGAATCAGTTACCTATTTTTGTCAAGTATTACCAGAATCTTTAAACACCTTAATTGTATCATGAAAAGTGAACACCAAGAACGTATGCATAATCCAATCTTTCTAAGGTATCATTCATGACCTTAGTAGCTGGGTTATTGCAGTCTTTCACTACAATTCTAAATGATTCAGCTTTTGATCACCGAAAGAGTATCAGTCTCTTCACGATACTTATGATGTTTAGTGGCTAATAGTGGAACCTAGGATACGCATTTCGTCCAGTTTGGGACTCGTCAGATGGATATACTTGCTTCCCGGTGGGATCTAAGATCAATCGATTCAAGTACCACAATATTATCTAATAGGCCAGTAAGTGATGATAACCACTCCTTGCATGATGGATATGATACAGTCTTTGATGCTGGATCTTGTGACTCTCCGTTGTTGATTGAGGCAAACTGATCAGCCACTATTGACATACGAACTACTTTATGGATGCCTCGATATTTCGGATATTTTTAAATTTCATAATAATGGTTCATTATGGCTAGCGGTGGAATACAAGAAGCGATTGGCCTTTGGTTCGAGTCTTATTGGGAACAGCAGCGCACAATGAGGGGCTGGCATACCCTTTTGACTACTCCCAAATAGGACGAAACGTGCATCCTGAATTCTACTGCTAGTCACCACCGGTCATTAACATTAAGTTTGAAAATATTGACAATATCAAGGCGTCTATACAAGAGTGCATATGTTAATGGTTGCAGCTTAGTTCGACGGAGATTTACAGGTTAAAACATCGTTTTTTTCGCATAATTAGTAATCACTACTCACAAATATGAAATCTAGGTAAAATAATTAACTTTCAAAACTGCATACACATACTAAAAGATCCGATAGAACCAATTAAGCAAAATAATACAATCTACCAAATTCCATGTAATGACTGTGAAGTCAAATACCTAGGTCAAACTAGCCGGTCGGGGTCAGTTAGATTAACAGAATATAGGAATTTAGCTAAACATAGAACGACAGACCCCAATAAGATCAATAACCTAGAAAAACACTCGGCCATTGCATTACATTCATTAACACATAACCACACAATAGGGTGGGATAAAACCACTGTACTTAAGTCTAATATAGCTAGGTGGAGAGAGAGATTAATTACTGAATCTTTGTTCATCGAATCCACACCCAACACATATAATAGGAATGAGGCAACACCTATACGAGAGATATGGAAAACTTTACTACCAATCAAAAAACAAAAAACAAAGAGAGATCAGTTGACAGGACTATAAAATCAGATAACGAAAGAAGTGTGATTACATTGATATGATTATGAGCAGTGATAATTTATGCTCGAAACGTAATCAAGTAAATAATACTGTATCACTGTGCACTTTATATCAAATAAACAAATCTAATATGGAATTACATTCTACCACAGTGCCCAAGTTTTTCACTTACATATCAAGTAGTTACAAATTTTCTAAATGACGGCTATATATGCAATTGGTTAATTTCAGTCTATATTACAAAGAGCTGAGTAACATCTGCTTTTTTGTCTGACTGAAGGTGAAGGAATAATTTTCACTTGCCCCAAACATCAACCATATTCAATCAACAATAATCAAATAGTGGACAAAAATTTACCTCTTTTTAGGGATTCATATGATATCTAATTGTATATCACAGGTGTTAAATAAAAATTTATCTTGAACAACATAACAAACATAATGAGATGCATTAAATTTATCTCGTATACCTCTAAATCTTCCACATATACACTAAATTTGAAAATAGATACAGTAAGCTATCACTGTCAAGCATAAGTGTTATCTGATACATTTTAGTCATAAAGTCACTGCCAAAAATATATCTTTGATGGATTTACTTTGTACTTGATGTTTTCGGAATTTTTTTCTCTTTTTTTAATTTCAAGGCACAGATGATGACTATGAGATTTGGATACCTCATTCAAGTGAAGAAAGTGGTAAAGACGGTTGTCTACTGGGTGTTAAGGAACAGTTTAGACGTTTGAAAAAAGATTCTCTGTAAGTCAACCAACTGTATAGTTAATAGGACACAACTGTTTTATCTACAATTTTTAATTGTGTTAATCTGAAACAGAATATCAAACAAAATTGTATTCAAAGCTTTTAGTTATGCTCTGTGAATGGGTAACATACAGTGGTTCCATGGTGGAAGATCTCAGCTTCAGTGACGCTATATTTTGGTTAGCTAATCAATCGGAAGATAAACACAATAAAGCAGAACTTTACATAATATTGTATTTCATAACAAAAATAGGACGTAAAAATGACATAAATATACAGAGGAAGCAGAGTTCATGGCTTAACAATACATTGAATGTATGGAGGGATTTTCTTGAAAAAGATTATAACATATTTACCATTGTGACCAATGTTGAGACATTTTATACATAATGATACAGTTGCCGGCTTCTAACTTAAATCTGTTGAGCTCTGCTAGCGATACCTTAAGACTGTTTGCATATTCACCATCCTTCAGTTTGTTTGATAGCTAGCAGTGGAACTCAGGACACGCATTTCGTCCTAGTTGAGACTTGTCAGTTAAATGTATCCGCACCTCACTGTATGGTGTTGTTCCCATTGAGACTCGACGTAAGTATCCAAAGAGTTATCTACTAGGCAAGTGCGGCATGAGGGCCGCCACTTGTACAACCAGTATCAGCCTAGTGGATTATTATTATTACGATTAGTCCCTTGGGTTCCTAATGGAACATACGGCTTCAGTAGCACGTCTCCAATGCTCTCTTCTCTCTGAAATCTTTTGACCTGGCTCCATGACAGCCCACAAGCTCTCATTTCCTCCTCGCAAGATCTCCTCCATGTCACCCTCGGATGCCCAACTCGTCGCTTCCCATCTGATTTCCACTCGAGCAACTGGCCTGGAGCGCGATGTCCCCAGTCGGCCTTCTCAGTGTATGCTCAATCCATCTCCACTTCCTTCCAGGGCATATTTGTTGGGTGATAAGTTTTTGATTGGTTCGTTACCATCCAGAGTTCCTTGTTGCTTATTCTTATTATTCTGGCCATCTGAGCTTGAGTAACGAGCCAGCGTAGGCAGTTGTTGATAAATGTCTGTAGCTTGTTGTAGATGCCTTTCGTGATGCGCCAAGTCTCTGAACCACACAGAAGCACTGACTTGACGTTGGTGTTGAAAAATCCGTATCTTATTCCACATACTGAGTGCAGAAGATCTCCACACTGGTTTCAGGCTAATGAACGCCTGTTTTGCTTTTCCGATCCTAGCTGGCTTTGACATCCTCGTCTATGCCACCTGTAATTGAAACAGTGCTACCTAGATAGGTGAAGGAGGATACTTCTTCTAAGTTTCTCCCATTGATGGTGATGGTGATTGGAGTTTGTTGTTATTGGTGGTGTTGTTGGTTGGGTATCTTGATCACCTCTGTCTTTTCTATATTCACTTGAAGTCCCATCTTCGCTGCCCTACCTGTTCTGTCAACTTGTTAGTTTTCGCCTGTAGATCTTCGAGTTTGTGTGACACTAGACAAAGGTCATCGGCGAAATCCAAATCTTCTGGGTTCTTTTCCACTGTCCAGCCAGTGTATCCCCCTCTTCTCACACCTCACAGTTTGTTGCATGATGCAGTCGACCACAATCAGGAACATCATGAGGGATAGTAGGCAACCTTGTTTCACTCCTGTCTCCACTTCACTTCAAAAGCATCACTTAGCTGAGCTTCCCATTGTGAATTACTTGGCTGGCATGTGGCATCTGCATATAGTTGTTTAATGAGGCGGATAAAGGTTTGTGGTATTCCGTAGTGTTGAAGCAGAAGCTGCCAAATTACTTGTCGGTCGACGCTGTCAAAGGCCTTTTCAAAGTCGATAAAGTTGAGGTGAAGTTGAGTTGACTGGCATTCTATACTCTGTTGTATGATGATGCGTAGTGTAGCGTAGCAATTTGTTCGGCACATGATTTGTACTTCCTGAATTCGGCCAAGCAGCCAGCCTGTTCCGAGGGTAGTTTTGAATCCAGTGCATCCCTTAGCCTCTCCAGGATGATGCGGCATAATATTTTGCTTGCACTGGGTGGACAGGAGAGTGATTTCACGCCAGTTCTTGCAAACATTGAGGTCTCCCTTCTTCGGCAGTTTGACAAGGTAGCCCTTCTTCCACTCGGCATTTATCTTCTCTTCCTTCCACACCTTCTGCAATATTGATGTGAGCATGTCCTCTGTTGTCTCTGAGTCTGTTCTCAGTGCTTCTGGTGGGATCTCATCTGGTCCTGCTGCTTTCCCGCATTTCAGTAGCTTTATGGCGTTCAGGACTTCCACTTTTGTTGGAGTATTTATGTTCACTTGTAGTTCTGTGACTGGGCTGTAGGTGTTATTTCTGGACGAAGTGCAGTGGTGGTGGTGGTCGACTCAAGAGCTTCTTGAAGTGGTCGGCCCATTGTTTCCTTTGTTTCTCTTCTTTCGTAACTAACTTTCCGTCATCATGTTTTATTGGTTTCGTCTGCGTTGATCTCTTCCTGCTAGATAGTGACCTGGTTATTTGATACCGTGTTGTCAGGTCTCTTCTGTAGCCTGCGTCCTGTTCTGCTTCACTTGCCAATGTTTCGTAGAAGTGTCTTTTGTCTTTGCGTGCACTCTTCTTCACTTCTTTGTCCAGTGTAGTGTTTTATAGGTTGTACTCAGTTCCTCTTGTCGTTGAGCATCCTTGCAATGGTTTATCTTCTGCTTCACCATCCTCCTCTCCCTGCTTTCTCAGCTTCCATGTATCCATCAAGATCCATTCCTTTTCTTCTTTCTTCTTCCTTCCTAATACGGCTGTGCAGGTTTCTTTCCACATCTGTTTCAAAGACTTCCAGTGTTCTTCCACACAGGTTTCTTCAGGGATGTTGCTGGATATCTCTCATTTTGTCTTGATGGCTGGCTGAAGTGAAGATTTCCTTTGAAGTTTCATGTTTTCCGAGTGTTGTACTTGAACTGTGGTCTATCACCAGCTTCCTTGAAGGCTTTTAACTTGATTTGGAAGGTCGCATGCACTGGATAGTGAGTGGTGTGAACCTACATCTGCTCCTCTTCTTGACGTTGTGTCAAGTAGGCTGCGTCTCCATTTTCTTGAGAATTTTGATATCGCCAACTGAGGTCTTTTCCAGTGTTGATTGCAGTTGTCTGTGTGTCTGTGGATAACGCTATGATATTGGAAGCGATAGACACTAGTTTCGGGTCTCAGTTGGGACATTATCATTCACTTTTGCTTAGATACATCCAGCTGACGAGTCTCAAACAGGACGAAACGTACATCGTGGATTCCACTGCTAACCACTGGGTAAGCTATAACTGGTGAATAGTTTCGAACCGCTGTCGCCAATCTACAGGTTTTTTTATTTAATACTATATGAAAGTTTATCAGTAGTATACATTTATATTTCCTTATGCATTCGATAGTCTATTTATTAGTAATCAAATCCAAAATATTTTAAGAGGAAAATTATCCACCTAAATACTTATATCTTATTTCACTTTATCATGTTTTTAGTATTTCATGCATATTCCCTACTGAAAATGTAGTTATTAGTTATGACAGTTTTTCAAAGAATTATTATTTTAGTTCAATAATAATGATAATAATAGTAATAGTAATAATGATAATAATAATAAGGGCAATATTTGCTACCGAATGACTATCATTATCACGTCTGTCAATTTTTTTTTTTACGGTGAAACGAAACTATTACTCTCTGTTCATTGTTTTTCTTTCTTGTTTCCTGGTAGTGTATTTAAATATCACCCTAACATTGAAAGAACAATGTAATTTAATATTTTACATATGTCAACGTTTCTAAAAATTTATGTTCACTCTTGATGTATTCTTGCTGGGTCGATTTATTTTACTGTCTGCTGTCTATATATATATATATATATATATATATATATATATATATATATATATATATATATATATATATATATATATGCTTGTTGTGTCCTCCAACATTTCCGACGTACTTGCTGTCGCTTTCGATAAGTCGGTAAGTGTGAGGTGTAGGGAAGGCCTAGAGTCACAAGTAAAAATGATTCATAGTTAACCTTCCTCTCTTTTTTTAACGATGTCACTATTATCATGAACTGTAGGCAATCAATGTATTTTTTATTATTCACATTCAGATGTACTGAAATTTGTTCATTTGCCTTTATCTGACTTTCACATCACACTATGTCTTTCTAAATGTTCTCCTAAATGGCGTTTTTTTTCTTGAATGAGAAAAGTCTTCATTGTTTTTAGCCGTAAATTTGAATTTATATATCTATCTATGACATTTTGCACATAATTTTGTATAACACATGTACATCAGTCAGTGAATGAGACAGAGAAAAAGAAAGATTGAAAGTTTTTTGTTTGGTTGAAGGTCATGTTTTAGTATAGATAAACAAATTTGATTCACATTCTTGGAATGCTTTTTTTGTTATTTTAGGCTATAACAACTGATAGTTGTGAGAAATAATTTTTATTGTCCTCATGTTAAACTTCATTTGATTGGAGATAATTTATATGTTCAAACGTTATAAAATAAATGATTCGACAAAATGCATACTGTTTATTAGCATTTAAAGCAACTGGTCCCTTTGATAAATTTAAACAGTGTAGTGAGAAGACGAAGATTATCAGAAACATGTGATGTATTAGCGCCAATACATCACATGTTTCTGATAATCTTCGTCTTCTCATTACACTGTTTAAATTAGTGGTTTAATTTGTTCGTTTAAACAGCCATTCATTTATGGACAGTATGTTATCGTATGACTCCATTTAGAAATAGATTTGATTATGGGAAAAGACAGTGACCATTGACATTAGTTGATGAACTTTGGAAAACATTGTCTACTTGATTTCATTCTAATGATGAGATGGTAACATGTCCACCGCAATACCTGACAATGCTGAGCTTACACTACCGAAGATTCCTGAGCTACAACGAAGTAGGTAATCAGTACTGTATAGTTTTGGATGGTTCTATCTTTGACTGGTGTAAATCAG